AGTTTTAAATTAGTATTTACCTTCAAATGCCGTTGGAATTTAACCTTTTCATTTTGTTTGGCCTGCAAATGGGACATAGTGTCTTTAAGTGCATGAGCATAATGCATAACACACAAAAACAACTACAAAACAACCAAAAAGTCCTTTTGGTTGTTACATGACAGGGCAGAAAATGAACTTTCTAGAAATGTGATTTTCTCTTTGAAATTCAGATACCGCCCTAAAAATGACTTTTTAGTTTCCTCTCTACGAAATGTTTTAAATCCCTCATGCGTGAAATATGCATCATATGAGTTGCATCACATGAAAGAGGAGGATCTAAGCTTTACAAATACACTGTCACTCATATAGGTGGAATATGCCTTGAACCATAATGCATGGCCATCCAGAGGATTTGTTTATGTTGGGGACCAGGGTAAAATGCAATAAATTATTGAAAATTTATTGCATTTTCTGTTTTTTTTTAAATTTATGGAAACTGCCCCCTACCCTAGCCCCCGCTGCGTACAGTCATGGTTCAGTGACAAAGCAATGGCCTCGTAACTGTGAGGCACCAGGATAAAACCGTGTCGATGTGCTATATTAGTGCCCTTTTGTGGGGCATTAATCCTCATTACTGTCATTTATTACTTAAGGGCGTAGGTCCCCTATTTAATAAGCATAGAAGCATACACATGCTATAGCAGTCACGCAAAACACACATTTGCACATTATTATTCAATAAAATCTGAGAATGTATACTTTTATCTAGATCTATTATTTTTAAATTATTTTTAAAATAATTCCATAAATTGGGGTAAAACTACAATATTCCAACTATATGAGCGACAGTGTATGTGTCATGTATTAATTATGTGATTAAGTTATGATAACACATCGATAATTCTCGGTTTCGTTTTTCTGGGACGCACTGTATAAATACCAGGATAATCAGAGCCATCAATATTTAGAACTTGTTGAAATATAGCGAAAATTGTTTTGTGATACATGTACCTCAGTCACACCGCCAAACCGATTCCAAAACGACTGACTTTTTTGTTTTGTTGTAATTGTTTGATCACTCTGTTGTTCATCTGGGGTTTGTTGCTTCCATATTTTTGATTTTATTTTATTTTATTTTATTTTTGCATTTTTTCCATATAAAATATAACTGAATGACAAAGAACATATAAATGTAAGGTATAATACAACATAAACAAACAATAATTTCTTCATGTCAAAATGTTTTTTTTACATGTACATATAATAACGAAACTTAATATTTCCATAACATATAATCATAAATGTAAAGGATTATCCGAACTATTCTGTTGGAAAAGTGCAGGAGACCGCAATCATAAGCAAAGCTTGACAAGGATGGCGGCCTCAAAAAAAAAAAAAAAAAAAAAAAAATCTTAAGGTAAACCTTAAAATGAAAAAGTGTTTAAACGATCTTTGTGTATGAGTTGGTGAGTGTGTTGTGCAAGTGTATATATATATATATATATATACTGTGTGTGTGTGTGTGTGTGTGTGTGCGTGTGCGTGTGTGTGTGTGTGTGTGCATGTGCACGCGAGAGTTCTTGTTTGTATGTGTTTGTAACAAATAGTGGAAGTGCACGTCGCTCTGTGTGGTATAGTGGATTGGAAACAAATATAGCCTTTACAATAAAGGAAACTAAGAATACGAAATAGAAAACAAAATTTGCAAAACTGAGTTGCAATGTGACCAAAATTTGACAATTGCCTACTGCATGTTGAAATCAGTTATGTAGATACTTCGATATAAGAGTTTTTTTGAGAGATGCTTTAAAAGAATAAAGAGATGAACAATGCCTTATTGAATTTGGTAAGGAGTTCCAAACATCTGGTCCATGATGTCTTACTGATTTTTGTGCTAAAAGTATTTTAGGATTTTCTAAGTGATAATTTGTTGAACAACGGGTGGGGTATGTGTGACTTGGGTATGCATGCAGGGGCGGATCCAGCCGGCGGCAGGGGAGTGGGCCCAATTCGTGAGAAAATATTTAGCGGCGACAAAGCCGACCGATAAGTCGCTAAGTCGGGGGGGGGGGGTAGTGAGCACTATTTTTTTTTTTTTTTTTGGGGGGGGGCCCTCGAAAATTTGAAAAATCGCACCCCCACCCTTGAGCGCCAGAGGAGGGGGTCATCTAAATAAAAAGGTAAACTTGACATCCCAGTGGAGGGGGCCCGGCCCCCTCCCCCCCCCCCCCCCCCCGGATCCGGCCACTGTATGCATGTAACCAAAGCGTTTTGAGAGAGATAGTTGTGACACGCACATCTACGCGTACTGAATGAAGATGACTTTGGCGCTGATAAACGTTGGAGAGCCGGGAGCGTCCGGGCTTTCACAGAGTATGGGCGCTATACCACTATACCAGAACTAAAATCCGCCATTATTATTATTATCGTCTGTCCCACTGGGTAGCCAGACACGGAGTTGGATACATACTAGTAAAGGTCAACAAACAAATCTTCATAGTCAGGAAAATCAAAAGAACTACATTGTTACGGGGTTAGAGGACACTTTTTTTTTTGGGGGGGGGGGGGGTCTCGAAATTTTGAAATTTGAAATTTTGCTCCGTTGGGGGGGGGGGGTAAGTTTTAATTTAAAAAAAAAATTAAAAAAATTACCAAAGGGGGGGGGGGGTTTCACCCAAAATATACACATAACAAATACCAAAGGGGGTTTAACCCCCCCCCCCCCCCCTGTGTACGCGCCTGGTGCTCTCTCCCTCTCTCTCTCTCTATGTCTACTTTATCTGTATGTATTTGTAATTAAGTATATGTCTCTTTATCCATTTATATTAAAGATTTGTTAAGATCAAATATCCCCCTCTCACTCTGTCATCTCTCTCTTCTTTTTTCCTCGATCACCACCCTCTCTCTCTTTTTATCTTTGCAAATATCTTAAAGAAAATATCCTCTGCAGAAAATAATTACCAAAAGAGTTTCGTGCAGTGTCATAAAATCAATAACGTCCCATGATCAGGAGCAGTATGATAAATAAAATAAAATTAGTGTATACTCCTCCCTATGAAAAGTGGCGCTGATACTTCCCTACTTCTATTTTCCTCCTTCTTCTCTATCTCTTTGATCCCTATCTCTTCAACTCTTCCCGCCTATTCCTTCCCCCTACCCCCTCTCTCTCTCTCCCTCTGTGTTTATCTCTCTCTTTCTCTTCATTTTCTCTTCTCCTTCCGCCCACGTATCTTATTCTCCTGTCTTTCTTCCAATTCCAAATCTCTCTCCTTAATTCTTTCTCCATCCCCTTTACCAGTATATCTCCTTTTATTTCTCTCTTCCCCCGTCTTCTTTATCTATTTGTTCCCTTTCTCTCCATCTCCCTCCTTCTCCCCCTCTCTTTTCAACATTTCTACCTCCCCCTCTCTCTTCCCTTTTTCTTAATCTTCGTCCTTCATTCTGCTCTCTTTTCTTCTCTTCCAGTCTCTCTCTTCTTTCCCTATTTCTCTCTTCCTTCCCTTTACCAATTTCCTCTCCCTCTGTCTTCTCTGTCTCTGTGCACCTTTTCTCTTCATTATTCTTTCCCCCTTTCCCCCTCGCTCTTTTCTACTTGTTTATCACTCTCTCTCTCTCTTTTTCCCTTTCATTTCTCTTCCCCTCACTCCCCCTACCCTTCCCTGCTCTCCTCTCTCTCCAAAATCACATTCTCTTCCTCTCTCTAAACTTTCTCTCCCCCTATTTTTCCGAACAAACACATACTCATCAACATCATTACAAATATTTGAAGGAAAGAGGCAAACAAACCAATCATAATTTTTGTGCAGTGTAATATCTATATAACTTCACATGAATTAGGCACAGTATAATAGGTCACTTCGAACATACATACATGTATACATATATCATTATATACCCCTCCCCCCCCCCCCCGAAAAAAAGAGATGTAAATTTCTTGAGATTTATGCTAGCATGGCTTTATCCAATGCCGGTGCAATGTATTAACAGAAACGAGTTGGAAATATTTATGCATTCTCCTATTTACCCAGGGTTCAACACACACACTTATATATATATACATATATATATATATATATATATATATATATATATATATATATATATATATATATATATATATATATAGGGGTGTCCGGATTGAACTAATGTATACTACAGTCTGTATGCATAAACCCTATGTAACATCTCCAACATTTTGGGGGTCCGGACTCAAATTTTGGGGTCCATCCTAAAATGTTGGGGTCCGGACTAAAATCTTGGGTGCCCATGCATCATCCCACACACCCGTTAGTGTGTAGTGTCGAGACCTGATTAATCCTTTCTGTGAAGTATTTAACAACCCAAAGTATCACCTTAATTCAAATCTATTTCAATTATGAAAATTTCTTTTCTTCTACCTTGAAAATCAAAATTGTGTAAAATTGGATACAGAACAAATATTTTCTTTCAAGATATAGAATATGAAAATATGAACCACAAGTAGAGACTTGTCAGATGATAACATTTTTTGCGATGCTACAATCAAATCTTCATGTAAAGCCTATACCCTTAAGAGGAAAGTATGGCCATTTTTCTTGGTCATATTGGATACAAATAATAATAATCACCTGGATTTATATAGCGCTTAATACGAATACCGTCTCCAAGCACTTTACAGATATTACTACCCCTGTCATCAGATTCGTTCATGAACAATGTGCACCATCTCCACTCCCTGGGGAGTGTTCCTACCATATGGTCACCGTGAGGGCATATGGCAATCACTAGCAAAAGGCTTTTGTCATTCTACCAGGTCCCCATTTCTTTCCTGGGTATGGAGTGGCAAATGTAGATTAAAGCCTTGTTCAGATCGGCAGCAGTAAACAGCTGCATTTTTTTCCCCATGATGACGTTAACTGTCATACACCTTGCATTTCCCATCTTGAAAAACATATTTTTAAGTGAATATGCATAGGAGCTTTGCTTCCTAGCACATGCCATTCATATCGTTCACACATAAAACCCACGGCACGTTTTTTTTTTTTTTTGCGGTGGTTTACCATGACACATCTGAAACAAACTTTAAAGGTAATACAAAGTTTTGGTATGGGGTCATGAATTTGGTTCAAATGAACATATTGGAAGCATATACGATCCTACAATATTAAGTGATCGTTGTCGCGGTCGAAATCGACTCTAAAGTTATGAAATTGTAAATAATAAACTCTTTATGTTGAATAGCTCCCTCTCAAGGTCAAGATATTAATTAAGCTATAAAACAATGTTTATTGACTAAACTTGACTGATTAGATATTCTCGTTCGGAAATTATATACCACAACTACATACTCTGAGATTTTCATGGTCGCAGCTACCGTTGTACGGCCGTAGGAGCTATTTGAAATTTATCAAAATTTACCGGGAGCACCGGTAAATCTTTATATTCAATTTTTCTCAAAAGCAGAAGTGTTTTAGGGGCTAAAATTTCTGGTGTTTTTAGTACATCCACAGGGGCATCCAAATATATTAAAATTGTAAAGAATCACTATCCACCCATTTTTCAAAATTTCCCCAAACTTTGTAATACCTTTAAGGTTTAGAGATATAAATATAAAATACTTTGACTGCATATACTCACATTTCAAATTTATATCAACAATAAATGCATAAATGTTCTCTTGACACTCCTAAATCTTTTAAGGACGATCGCGTGTTATAAGCATTCCAACACATACATTGTCTTTATAATTCCATCGTGAACACATGACAATATCAATTAAGACTACCGCTACATTTATCGAACCATACAAACCACTCATAATATGGTTAAATGAATATATACACTGAGAATAATGATGATCGATATATTTAGGTTTAACAAATACTTAACAAATACAACAGTAATATACAACTTGATTGCACAATTTTTATCCAAGATTATGACAGCAATGATACAGATGAATTTATAAAAACTTGAACACAATTAAAAAGCTCAAAATATCATTATCAAGGTAAACACCCGTTTTCTTAATTGTAGATTAGGGATTAATCAAAAATAGTGGAAAAATTATAACATATGGTCACAAAGCCTCGCAGAAGTTAACCTGAGGGCAATCTTTTAACAGCCTCTATCATCTATTAAAATTCACAAGCATTACAATAGTTTGAAATAATTTGTTTAGGCAAATAGAATTGAGTTGATTTCTTGATAGTCTTTGGAGTTGTTTATCTTATTATTATTAAAAAGTGTGAAGTCTGCAATATTTATTTCTAAATTTAGCAGCGTAAATAATGGTTATTAATCAAAGCACAAGTTAAGGTGATCAAGCATACGTATTGAATACCATGTATACATATAAATATGAAATAAAGCTCCCAGCATACATTTTAAGAAAATGTTAAGGCCAAGTTTTCAGCTCTCGGTCAACGTCTTTCAACCAGTGCAGTCACTACCCTAGCCACCAATCAAAATGACCAAAATCAACTGTGTAATAATTCCAATTAGATTGATTTTTCTGATGTCTGTGTACATTTTCTTCTTTTTTTTGGATTTCAATTTGTATGTCAAGCCCCACCCATCAGTTGATTCTGACTGAAAATTGGGATCGATTTTGGACAAAAATCAAGTAATATAAATCGTAATTTTGGGGCATAAGGGTGACCGAAATGACCACATTGTTGTTGATGGGGTTCCAATTGACCACTTTTTCTAAAGACCTGGAACCACCAACCAGGCTCAGCAGTCAACGCAAAAGGAACAGCCTACTTCAAGGAGGCTGCTGTATCCTTCATTAGATTCATGTGTAGCATCCTGTAGGCTCTCACATAGTTTTAGTTTACTGGCATGGGTTTTACTGGCAGTAGATTTAGCATATTTTACTGTACATTGATAAAGGTGTTTTGTCTACACACCATTTCTGCACTTCATGAAAAATAGTTCAAATTTATTATTAAATATGCTTTGGTACTCAAGGTTTTTTTTTTTAAAAAGCCAAGAAATGATGATAGCAGCCCAATCGTTAATTTGTTCATTATTTATGAAAAATATATTCATATCTGCAAAATTTCTACACCAATAAAATTTTAAAACGTTTCCAAATCTCGGATAAACACACGTACATGTACATTTCTTAGTGATCGCCACAGCACACATATGTAATTAATATAAAAAGCACACACATACACAATCGTGATCAGCATTTAAACCCTGTATAAACATATAAAGGATAAGGAAAAAATTGATGTGTGATCTGCAGAAGGGCTTTGGAAGAGTATATTATCTCATAGCTCCATATATCAGGAAGAATCCACCTTTAGGATAACTTGGGCTTAAGCAAAGCAGAGAAAAAATCAGAAAAACAGGATGGTTTAGGTTTGTACGAAAGTGGAAATATAATCAGAAATTTATGGATGTCTAACCTGTGAGATCACTGTATCTACATGAATCTCAAATCAGTAATTGGGTCAGTCGATGAGAAATTTATGGCCAACTGTCCCATTAATTTTGTTGTACATTAAAACATTATTCATTTTTATTTGTTGTCTCGCTAACATTTTTTTTTCTGCTTGCACTTTATCAACTTATCACAAAGAGTGCTTTTCTATTGAGCATTACCTTAAAGACTTCTCTCCCTGAAACCGTTTGACGGAACACAACGGCATAAATTATGAATCTCCAATGCCCAAATTAGGAATACAATACAATTTGCATGCTTTTACACAGAATATTTCAGTAAAAGAGAAGGAATTTAGGGGTCCAAACATAGATTTCATAGTCATAAGAGAGGAATTTTAGATCCCAAATTGGAAAGGTTGGGAGTTATACAACATGTATACACACACATATTGTTGTACAGATAATTTTTATTACCACTGGATAAGAAAACAGGAAAGGGAGTTAGTACAGTCAAACCTGCATTAGCGACCACTTGAATAGAAAGACCACCGGTCTACAAAGAGCTAATTTATTATTTCCTTAGAAAATGGTTTCTCATTGAAACATATACTAAAGCATCCTGTACATAATGACCATCTCCCTATAAAGACCACTTTTTGTGTCTCACTTACGCAGTCTTTAGTAAATACAGATTGCACTGTATTAAAAGGATGGCTCTGTAGAAGGGCGGTGTCTTGAATGCAGAGGTTCCTAGTCTGAAACCAAAGTCAATGTGCTTGTGCCCTTTTAAAAGGCTTTGATCCGCAATGGCCGACTCTCTCAGAAAGCACTAGCAGTGCAGGTCCATGAGTTGTTTATCTATACTGATATACATGTAAAGACAGGGAAGCTTACAAAGGCTTGCTAACAAACTTCAGTTTTATTTTTCTGAAGCTAGTGGGGATGGAAAAAAGTACTTGCGCACAATAAAGGTCCTACACGTTACACGGATACGTCTAGGGGAGATTTATTTTTACTTGCACTTATTGGCACATGCACCCTACCCTTATGAAACACAGTACCTCACACTACCTCACACTACCACACTGAATTGAAATAATCAATACAGTGCTTGAAAAATAGTATTTGGTTTTTGCTCAATTATTACTCTGAACTTAACGCAACATAGAGTATTTTTAATCGCTTCATTCTTTTAATGAATCTTAATCATTATTGTATGCGGGTATAACAAAACCTCAGGGAGTTTGGCATCCCTGCCATGCACCTTGTGGTTTAGGTTCTCTTTAGAATCTAAGGCTAAGGGAGCAAACCCTAACAGAAAACCATGCCACTGTGACAGCATTTAGGGCGATTGACGATACAGAACTCCTGACATCCTACGACCAGTCACTGCAGGGTCTAGTGGTTGACACCCTTCCTGGCTTGTCCTCGCCGGTGTGAAACTGCCACAGGTTCCTCAAGAGAGTGCCATTAGTTAATTGTAAGAGCTACCGGTACTTATCAACCTTTGCAAACAGCCTTCATGATCATGTTATTTAAAAATGAAGGCGATCATGGTCGCTTTGCGACAGACAACTACTTTACATGAACAGGCACATCTCATATGAGCAACTACAAGTACCTGTACAGAAAGACCACCTGTCTATTAACAAAACACATTTTTGTTTCAACTGACCATATTTCTTAGTGAAACGTGTGTTAGAGAGAACCTGCATATAAAGACCATCAGTCTCTCCAGCCTTTTGTTTCCAATGACTGTTTTCTTTTAACAGTGAAACATGTGTGAAAGAGAACCTGCATATATAGACGGCATGTCTCTCATGACTGCCTATCATATCAAATTGGGGCAGTGTGTATCTGTTCAAGTGTGACTGCTCTAGCTGTCTCAGCAGTCAGGTAGACAAAAACAAAAGCACAAAATTAGCACCAACTTCATCACCAGCAGACTAGGCTGTACAATTATACGGACACCATTAATGTGCTATACTGATACCAACAAATGTGTCGTAACAGATGAACATACACAACCGTGCAAGACACCAGTGCATGGTCTTTTTTGGACCCGTTTCTAATTTAGGGCATCTGGATTACAGCCCAAGGATACCCTCGCAGTTTTGGTCGGCCCGACACGATCCACCGCCAGCCATTTTCTCCGGTAACCACACAAACTCCCGCACTTCCCTCTGGGTTGACGGTGCACAGTGGACGATGCCTGAAAAAATAGGAAAAGAGGGTGTCAAGTTTAAAATTTAGGTTTAGTTCCTCTTAGCTCTATCTATCTATCTTACTAGCTTCCTACCTACCTAACTTCCTTCCTCCCTATCCCCCCACATACCCACCCACTTACCTACCCAACTACCTACCTACACACCTACCTACCCACCCACCTATATATCTTCACCTACCCACACACCTACCTACTCACCTATCTATCCTCCACCTACCCACCCATCTACCCACCCACCTACCTACCAACCCACCTACCCTCCCACCAACCTACACACCTACCTACCCACCTACCCACCCACTTACCTACACACCTACCTACCCACCTATCCAACTACCTACCTACACACCTACCTACCCACCCACCTATATATCTTCACCTACGCACACACCTACCTACTCACCTATCTATCCTCCACCTACCCACCCACCCACCTATCCCCAACTACCCACCCCCTATCAACCCACCTACCAACACACCTCTCCACCCCCTACCTACCTACCTACCCACCCACCTATATATCTTCACCTACCCACCCACCTACCCACCCACCTACCCACACACCTACCCACACACCTACCTACTCACCTACCTACCCACCCACCTACCCACCCACCTACCTATCCCCAACTACCCACCCCCTATCAACCCACCTACCAACACACCTCTCCACCCCCTACCTACCTACCTACCCACCCACCAACTAACCCATCTACCTACGCACCCACCTACCCAACCACCTACCCACACACCTACCTACCCACCCACCTATCCTCCACCTACCCACCCACCTACCTAAATACCTACCTACCCTCCCACCTACCAATCCAACTACCTACCCACTCACGTACCCACCCACCTACCTACTTACCCACCCACCTACCTACCCAACTATCCACCCACCTACCTACACACCTATTAACCCACCTACCTACCCACCCACTTACCTAAATACCTACCTACCCTCCCACCTACCCACCCAACTACCTACCCACTCACGTACCCACCCACCTACCTACTTAGGGGAGCCTTCCAAAGTTGCGACTGTGCCGCGACGCGTCGGGGCGCAGAGCAGGATATGAGAACAAAGGAGGCGCCTTTATGCGCCCATTAGCGCCTTTTTGCGTCGGATAGGAGAGGACTTCAGTTGGTTGCCAGCTCATTAAAATCTGGCTATTGTTTGGAGTCTCATTGTTACGAAATTACCCCGCCAGGGCGCGCCCCGGTGAAGCACTTGACATTTGTGAATGGGAGCTTAAACTTTGAATAGCTTTCGCGCCCTTTCGCGCCCGGCGCATTAGTTATTCATGTACACTGTAGTGCCCGCTTGTGTGTCGCTCTCGTCTTGCGAGATTTGACTCTGAAAAGCATTACTTTGGCTACTGATTTGTTTTAATATTATTTTACGTACATGACATTGGTTACAATGTTTGTTTATTTTCCTCTCAAAATCGGAGTTCTGTAGGCGTTAACGTTGGCATGATTGTTCATTTTTTCATCTCCTCCTGTTCTGTTCATGATTGTGTTCAATATACTGTATCAATTTTAATACAAATTGATTTGTTCCAAAAAACAAATTTATTTTATACTTACCCCACTCTCTCTGACATTGTTTTCCTCGTGCATGTTTTGACACTTTAATTGTAATTTTATATTTCCTTATAGCGATGTTATCGCATGTTTCGATTTTCTTTTTCTTTTTTTTAAACAATTTTTGTTGCATCTTGTAAACAGTTCTGTCGTATGATCATTATAAATCATATAATTATATCATCAGTCTGTTATTTCAATACATAGATCCTTTGAATCTTCTTAAAATTAGAGAACGTATTTTAAAATCCGTGATGTTGAAAATGATACTTAATCAAGAATGTCATAGTTTCTCCTTGAATTGGATTTAAAAAGCGTTTTATCTGTATTACGATTTTTTAAGCAAATGATATCCGTATTGTCGGGAACATCATCAATATGTTTCGTTAGAAGGAAGACGCTCATTTTCAGAATGTTCTTTCTTTGCAAAACACTAATGTTACGAACAAAATTAAATACACTGTACCCGTATCATCGGGGATATCGCAAAACTCCCAGGGAGATTATCAATTGCAAATCAACATAGTAAATTATGCCTAAATCGTAAGAATAGAGCATGCATTAAAAAAGAAGAGAGTTACCAGGAAATGATGTTTGAAATTTCACCCCAAACATATCTCAAGAAGAAATTAGTTTATCATTCTGTGTCAAAGAATTTTATCGAATATTTCTTTGCGACGAAGGGGGGGGGGGGGGGTTACATCCGCGGCCAGTTTTAGATCTAGGTCATTGTTAAGAATAACTAAAATGCGTATATATTGTGCTGAATAGGGGCCACATCGAAAGAGCGTAGTACGTTCTAGAACAAATACAAGCCATGGCAATTCGTTGAATTGCTTCTCGTAACAGAACTGTCTCACTGTCTAAATAAGGATCCATCCGGGGGATCCATCATGCACGTGTTGGTAAACGGAATTAATAATGATTGGGTTGTTTTGGGATATTTTTTTTTCGGGGGGGGGGCAGGGTAGCCCTTATTCTTCTTCTACTGGGTCATCAAGAAACACAAATAGTGTTGAAATTTTCCGCAATCCCTTTAGCGCCGAGGGTAAAAAAGCCTTTAGAAAAGTCAGCTGGACAATAGCAATTTAATGTTGGTCAAACAATCAGCGAGAAGTACTGGGCAAACAGATATTAGCCCACGTCTTCAATATAACCAGGGAATCCTGATATAACTAAGCACATGCTCACAATATGAATATCAAATCTGGCTATTGTTTGGAGACTCATTGTTACTATCTGGTAAAGGGGTACTTTTCACGCACCAAAGTCCGGCTCGTCTAGTACACACAAATCCGGCACGTATTGACTTTACACACCGGACTTAGGGGACTGTTTTCAAAAGGAGGGAAAATGCATATGCGTACCCTACATAACACTCATTCGGGGGTGGGGGTGGGGGAGGGGTGCGCTTAAAGGCGAAGCGCTTTTTGTGAATTGTGAATTTGTGAATTTGAAAAGCTTTCGCGCCCGTTCCTACGCATTAGTTATTCATGTAATCCCCGCGTGTGTGTCCGCTCTCGTCTTGAAAGATTTGACTCTAAAATTTTCACTTTGGCTACTGATATGTTTTATTATTATTTTACGTACAAGACATTGATTTAGATTGTTGTTCTGATTGTTATTTTCCTCCCAAACATCGAAGTTGTGTAGGCGTTGACGTTTGAATGATTGTTCATTTCTGTTCATTAATGTGTTCAATACTTGTATTATATTAATTTGTTCACGAACAAAACAAAAACAATATGTATAATTGTATTCCTTCTGTATGTTTTGACACATTATTTGTTTCATATTACATTTATTTTGTTCTGTCATCCGATCAAAATAGGTCATATATCTATATCATCACTCTGTTCTTTCTCATGCAAGATCGATTTAAAGAATAGAAACGTAGGTTCTCTAAATCTTCGCAAAATCAGCTATTGTATTTAAATACCCGTGATTTAAAAATGATACTTATAATCAAAGAGATTGAAAGATTCTGCTTGAAATAAGATTATAGGGCGTTTATAAATATGTCATACAAAACAAACAAACATCTGCAAATTAAAGATATTACAAAAATGATAGTCGTATTGTCGGGAGCCTGCATCATCAAAACGTTTCGGTAGATGGAACAATTCGAAATCGCCTATCTGTTCCAAACATGAAATTCGATCGAATATTTCTTCGCGAAGAAACTTTATTGGTGGTGTCATTTGTCTTAACAATTTGTTATCTTCAATGTTCGTGACGTTTTGACGTTTCATATTTGTTAGCTAGCGCTAGTAAAGTCTTTTGTTTTAACGTGCACTGTATATAGTTATAAGGCCTGAACACGTCATGTTCACATTGGGTGTTATATAGCATACGGATATTATAGTACATGTAACTTTTAAAAGCACTTTGTTTTTGCAACGCAATGACAAAAGACAGCTCTTTGAGCAGCTAATAGTTGTTGCGCCCATTGTTCCGCTCACAGGCGGCTATTCCCAATCACCGGGCATTATTTGTTATTGTATCATTAGTTAAGTTTATTAATCTATTCATGTTTTCTATTTATTTATTTAGTTTTGGGGAGGGGGGATGTCGTATTACGAATTCATGACCCTTATACATAATGACCATGTTCTCAAATTAAGAATAGCGGTCTTCATGAATAGTTGTCCAATGAATAGCGGTCCTTATAACTAGCGAGCGGAGCCCTCGTGATTGACCTCTGCCATTTTGGTCCGGCCGTTCACTTCGCCGCCCCCTCCCTCACACACACACATAATACGCAACCTTAATGTGTAGCTAAACAAGAATCTATAGCAAGTCGGACAATTATAGCGATCAAACAATAGTCTTGCTCGGCCGCGTGAAATCCTGCCACGGCATTCTATGTTTTTACCTTTAGAGCGAACTTTTCTTTTGTATTCGCTCCATAGAACTCTACTTTATCTTATAGCGAGGTGAAATGAAAAGAGCGTCATCATGAGTAGATCTATTGTTTGATGTTATCCTTCTTCTCCCTAGTTAAGCCAAACCTTCAATTTAGGCATATCCATAAAAGGTAGCTTCCTGTACCGTTCGCTTTTTTTTCCTGACTGCTATATGAAGCATGTGTATGCTCTGAATTACGCAAACAGGGGACCGGCGGGTTTAAGATCCTCTCCGAACGAAATGTAATGTTGAGTTATGCCTTACAATAGCATATCGACTTGGTTTCTAACCAGGGAGCTCCCGGTTACGAGCTGCTCTGCTCTACCACTGGGCTATAGCGCCTCCCTCCTTTTAAAAAGATCTTTTAAAATTTGCCGGTTTTTTTTTTTTTAGAATAAGAATCAAAACATGTTTGGTATGTTTTTTGTATCTGTGCATTAAGATTTCAAAATTTCACTTTCGCCACTTAATTATACAAATCTACGAATAAATGATTCGAATGTTAGAGCAGAAATCAATGTTTGTATTTGTGTCGAATGATTAATTATCATCATGAACTGATTAATGTTTTGTATTGCATTTCCAATTGCTGCTCAACTTTATCACCATCAGGCTACGCTTGTTTGTTTACATCTTCATGACAAACATGTTTTATAATCTCGATATAGTTCCCGGACTCTTTTGTCTATTTATTCCACTTTTAAAAAGAGCTATGGAATTATTATGATTTAAAACGCCTTTTGGACGGGCAATTTTCGAAGGCAAATCTCGGGCGTGAAATCCTGCCACGGCATTTTATGTTTTTTTTTTCCCTGAGGCCACTTAACAAAAAATTCATGTTTAGCGTCCCGGCTGCTTCTTTTTGGGGGCCGCCTCCTATTTTTTATTTTTGGGGAAATTTGTTTTAATTTTTTTTTTTTATTTAATTTTTTTTTTTAAATAATTTTTGAAAAAAAAAACATGAAAAACAATACTAAAATGTATCTATTACTGATTATTTTTTTTTAAAGTTAAAAGATGTCGGCGGCCATCTTGAAAACTAGCCCGACTGTCAGGAAAATGTACCGAGCGGCCATTTTGAGCGGCCATTTTGAAAGAAAAAAAAAGAAAAGAGAGGGCCTCCTCCTTCCTAGTTTTCGAAAAAACAGGACACTAATAAAACATTTTTTTATTTGGCCTTGGAGCGAACTTTTCTTTTGTATTCGCTCCGTAAAACTCTACTTTATCAAACAGCGAGGTGAAATGAAAAGAGCGTCATCTTGAGTAAATCGTTTGTTTGATGTTATCCTTCTTATCCCTAATAAGCAAACCTTCAATTTATTAGAACCAAGTCATGGGAGGAGAAAAAAAAGGATTTGACTGACAAAATATAAATTCTTCCAAGCTCAGGCTGTGGCGATGTGCAACGCGTAGCGTGAATATGAATGACGGGAGAGAAAGATAATTCATTTGTCCATTATACGATGCTAGAATCATATCGCGATGTGGGAATTATACAAATATGTTGATAATCATTCAAATTACAAACATACACAAGCGACCCAAACAGTAATCAATTTGCCGACTATAACCGCATACATGTAGTCATTCACATCATTCGTCTTTTATTTTTTGTTGTTGGGGACAATTAAGCTCGCAATTAAACAACAATTAATCGTACATAGTCATCTTTATTTCACATTTCATACAGTCGTCACAAAAATTAAAAGGAGGCGTATTAAACCCAACAAAAATAAATCATAATGTATTCTGATCAAGATGAACGAGTGTGTTGATTGCCCCCCAAAACAAAGACGATCCCACCAGAGAAGTTCATGCTGTGCTGTAGTAATGTACATCGCAAAGCTTCGCCACAATGATTGGAAAGGTAATACCCGCCCGTTACGACGCAAAACGGCGCGAGAAGAATAGATCGCGATGCGAGAAGAATACATCAATTTTGTACAAACAATGGAAAGTTTATCAGAACGAAAACCGGAGGAGGGGAAGACAGGCTTTGGCCGAGAAATACTTTCTGTATATCAAGTTTAAGCTGTACCGCGCATCACGAGCGAGAACAATGACGGGAGAGATAATCTTCCATCGCCTGGTGGGGCGCAAAAGGGCGCAAGAAGAATAGAGCGGGTTTATACTAACAATAGACGGTTTCTTTTCATATGCAAGAATCAGGTGAGGGTGACTATTGCGCCCCTTCGCACCCCTTTGCGCCTCAATGCGTCTCTTGGGACGCGACTGTTCTATTCATCGCGCCCCGACGCGTCCGGGCACAGTCGCAACTTTGGAAGGCTCCCCTTACCCACCCACCTACCTACACAACTATCCACCTACCTATCCACCCACCTACCTACCCATCTACCCACCCACCTATCTATCCTCCACCTACCCACCTACCTACCCACCCACCAACCCACCTTCCTAAATACCTACCTACCCACCCACCTATCTACATACCTACCTACCCACCCACCCACCCACCTACCTATCCCCAACTACCCACCCCCTATCAACCCACCTACCAACACACCTCTCCACCCCCTACCTACCTACCTACCCACCCACCAACTAACCCATCTACCTACCCACCCACCTACCCACCCACCTACCCACACACCTACCTACCCACCCACCTATCCTTCACCTACCCACCCACCTACCCACCCACCTACCTATCCTCCCACCTACCAATCCAACTACCTACCCACTCACGTGCCCACCCACCTACCTACTTACCCACCCACCTACCTACCTACACAACTATCCACCCACCCACCTACCTACCTACCCACCCACCCACCTACCTACCCACCCACCTACCTACATACCTACTTACCCACCCACCCACCTACCTACCCACCCACCCACCTACCTACCAACACACCTACTTACCCACCCACCCACCTACCTACCCACCCACCTACCTACCCACCTACCTACCTACACACCTACTTACCCACCCACCCACCTACCTACCTACCCACCTACCTACCCACCTACCTATATATCTTCACCTACCCACCCACCTACCAACCCACCCACCTACCTACCCACCCACCTACCTACCTACCTACACACCTACTTACCCACCCACCCACCTACCTACCCACCCACCTACCTACCCACCTACCTACCTACACACCTACTTACCCACCCACCCACCTACCTACCCACCCACCTACCTACCCACCCACCTATATATCTTCACCTACCCACCCACCTACCAACCCACCTACCCACCCACTTACCTACACACCTACCTACCCACCTACCTACCTACCCACCCACCTATCTTTCCTCTACCAACCCACCCATCTCCCCACACACCTACCTACCCACCCACCTACCTACATACCTACCTACCCACCCACCTACCCACCCACCTACCTATCCCCAACTACCCACCCCCTATCAACCCACCTACCAACACACCTCTCCACCCCCTACCTACCTACCTACCCACCCACCAACTAACCCATCTACCTACCCACCCACCTACCCACACACCTACCTACCCACCCACCTATCCTCCACCTACCTATCCCCAACTACCCAACCCCTATCAACCCACCTACCAACACACCTCTCCACCCCCTACCTACCTACCTACCCACCCACCAACTAACCCATCTACCTACCCACCCACCTACCCACCCACCTACCCACACACCTACCTACCCACCCACCTATCCTCCACCTACCCACCCACCTACCTACACACCTATTAACCCACCTACCTACCCACCCACTTACCTAAATACCTACATACCCTCCCACCTACCCACCCACCTACCCACACACCTACCTACCCACCCACCTATCCTCCACCTACCCACCCACCTACCTACACACCTATTAACCCACCCACCTACCCACCCACTTACCTAAATACCTACATACCCTCCCACCTACCCACCCACCTACCCACACACCTACCTACCCACCCACCTATCCTCCACCTACCCACCCACCTACCTAAATACCTACCTACCCTCCCACCTACCAATCCAACTACCTACCCACTCACGTGCCCACCCACCTACCTACTTACTCACCCACCTACCTACACAACAATCCACCCACCTACCTACACACCTATTAACCCACCTACCTACCCACCCACTTACCTAAATACCTACCTACCCTCCCACCTACCCACCCAACTACCTACCCACTCACGTACCCACCCACCTACCTACTTACCCACCCACCTACCTACACAACTATCCACCTACCTATCCACCCACCTACCTACCCAACCACCAACCAACCCACCCACCTACCCACCTGCCTACCAACCCACGCACCTATTTAGTCATCTATTTATCTCTTTACTCGTAGATAAGTCTTTCCATCCATCTATTCATCCATCCATCTAGCTATTCATCAGTCTGTCTATCTAGCCATCTCGTCAGCTTATCCATCTACCATCCATCCTTCCATCCACTTATCCATCTACCATGTACATCTTCTTTCCACTTTTCCATTCTTCTCACCCGTGTCTCTCAGCTTGTTGACGACTTTCTCCATCTGTTCGTGGTTGGCTGCTGAAGCTGACTTGTGTTCCACGACCGGCATCGGGTAGTCCTTTCCCACAATGCATTTTGCCCTTTCTTGCACTGCCCTCGGTGCCTTCCATGGTTCAAAGAGGTATCGGATCGGCATGTCCTTCAACACTGGAAGGTAGCGCCTACATAAAGAAATTATACAGGAAACTTTGGTTGTAAATTACGACACACATACACCCATTTACCTGCCCAATTGCAGAATTTTCTTATGAAAATCTGAATGTATACATGTACATACAGCTAATACCGAAACTATTACATATGATGATATGCTATTTCTGGGCTTCTTTATTATAAGATGCTCTGTATACAGGCCAAATTTACTGATATGTTCTAAATTCTCCTTACCACATTTGGTCTATTGCTCACTTAGTCTAAATTCCATACGTTAGTAAACTAATTAGAGACCAAATGATAAGTCGGAAATGATTATTAGACCATGTGGATAGTAGACAGGCTGGGTATAGACCAAAAGGGAATAGATTAATTGGATAGTAGACGAACTGATTGTAGACCAAACGACGATTCTCTGTCTAACGTGTACAAAACCTATGGAAGGTCATATTTTCAGCAGCTTTACGATTCTGAACGGCTGGCTTTGACTGCATAACCTGTGATTATATGAATGAATCTGATGACTATGCAAAAGTAGAAGTCCCTTGAGAAAATTGCCCAATGAAGAAGAAGAAGCAGAAGGAGGAGGAGAAGAGAATTTAATAAAGATGGAAAAGGAACAAACCTGTGATCATATAAATGAATCTGATCCCTTGAGAAAACTGCCCAATGAAGAAGAAGATAAGGAGAAGAAGAAGAAGCAAATAAATGAGAAGGAGAAGAAGAAGATTTTTTTTAAGAAGGAAAAGGAACAAACCTGACATATTCACCCGTAGGGTCCATCCTGCGGCCATACCGAACTGGACAAAAGCAGTTGGGACACTGCAAGAACTTTTCAAAGGCAGAGCTAGAGATCCACATCCAGTTTCCTGCACAGATACTCCAGTCAGCATCCAAGAGGTACTTGTCGAACACCTGATCAAGGAGACAGATGATAGTGACAGATGTTAGACTAGAATGGAGCTACAAAGCTTGCTCAATAAACAGTAATCCTGAGAGAAAAGAACTTAATTTTGAAGATGTTGCTGCCAAAGAGGGGTAATTGCCAAGGGTAGGGTTCCAGAGAAGAAGTTCAGGGAGGCTGTTGTCCTAGGGCTACTTGACCCTAGGAGGACAGGTGGTTTTCTAGGAATGCATTTATGATGTGATTGCCAAGGCAGGTAGTTGTGTGGGTTGTTGTTTATTGAAATTGGAGTTGGAATTGAAAATGGAATATGAATTGGAATTGGAACTAGAATTGAAATTGGTACTGGATTTAGAATTGGAATTAAAATTGAAATCAGAAATGGAATTGAAAATGAAAATGAAATTGTAAATGGAAGTGGAAACGGAAGTTGAATTGAAATTGAAATTGCAAATGGAATTGGAAAGGAAATTCAAATTCAAACTGAAAATAGAAATGGAATGAAATCACAGACTTACCTGTAATCCATCTTCCCAGCTGATCCAGAGATCTCCACGAGTGAGGAAACAAGCGGTGGCGTGCCTACCGACCTGGTGGATCCAGCCCTCGTATTTGAGTTGTTTCATGCAGGCATCAATCCATGGATACCCTGTACGACCCTACATTACCATGGCAATGGAGGATTTTAAAAAATACAAGAATTTGTCAACCAAAGCGCAGATGAGTATATTTGCAGTCGACATGAAGACAAATACCCTTCCACTTTTGTGTTCGTGTTTCAGGTATTATGTCAAATTTCAGGCCAAAAAAAAATGAAAAGATTAAATTCCAACAGCATTTGAAATAGAATACTAATTTAGAACTTCCCTCAAATCAAAACGGCTTGAAAATGTCTTTTTGTGGGGAAAAAACAACTGTTTTTTGTAGAATCGAATCTAGCGATCGCGGTCGTTTACCGTAATTAAATATTCTGATTTTCAGACCCTTTTACCGAATAGTCATACGTTTTGTGCTGGGCAAAGATCAATCAGTTTAATTTTTGGCCATTGCAAGAAATGGGTTATTGATGTAGACATATGCTCATGTACCCTTTACAGCTCATTTTATGTTTGTTATTACGAAAGAAGAAAAAAAAGTCAGTCAGTCACTCAATAGTGTCTGACAGTGATAGTAAATGAGTTTCCTTGCATAATTTGAATACTAGGACACTGCTAACGTTTAAATGTGCTCTCACTCGTAAATTTCAAAAACGTCATCCAGCCCCCAAACTCACATCTGTCCATGCCTCGAGTTTCTCATCATGTTTCTTCCACTCAATATTGAGACAGAAGGTGCAGAAATATTCCTCTAAAAAAAATCTTCTACGCTCACTCAAGCCTCTTTACCCTGCAAACCAGTTGCTCTCATTCGTAAATTTAAAAAACGTCATCCAGCCCCCAAACTCACATCTGTCCATGCCTCGAGTTTCTCATCATGTTTTTTTCCACTCAATATTGAGACAGATTGGGTTATCTTTCATCTTGTCAAAGTGGATATTGCCTACAGACAAGGTGCAGATATAGTCCTCTATACATCTTCAATGCTCTTTCAAAACTCTTTACCCCACAAAACAGTTGCTCTCACTCAAAAATTTCAAAACTGTCTTTCAGCCCCCCCCCCCCCCCCAGACTCACATCTGTCCATGCCTTGAGCTTCTCATCGTCTTCCTTCCACTCAATGTTGAGACAGATTGGGTTCTCTTTCATCTTGTTGAAGTGTATGTTGCCTACAGACATGGTGTAGAAGTACTCCCTCCAGATCACCTGGGCCGTGAGGTGGGATGGTGACACCTCCTTCTTCAGCTGTGAGTCAAAGAATGCAAGAGAGTTGTAGTTATTCAAAATCTAAAAGGAGCCCTTCGTCACCGAACAAAATGTTTAATAAACTTATGAAAACTTGGAAGTCTGTATGTTAGAATGTAGAGGTGTTGTGGTCTAGTGGACATGTCACTTGACTGTGGATCACAGAGCTCGCGGTTCAATTCTCAACTTGGCAATAATGTCCTGCGGCAAGACATTAATCTACATTTGCCATTCTTCACCCAGGCGAAGTGAATGGGTACCTGATAGGAAGGAATTTCCAAAAATCCAAAGCATTACATGAGGCCTATTGGTCATAAAACTGAAGGCTAATCCTGGTGATTGACAACACCCGTGTTGAATTCCCCATAGGCCTGTCATCATCAGCTCGAGATTGCCAAATAACCTGCTATTTCTGATTTGGAAATAATCCCAAAGATACAAATCGCGTCTTCATCACCTCGAGACTTGACCTCGAAACTTGAAACTCAAGCTCGAAACTTGAAATTCAAGCTTGAGAAATTAGCTCGAGATATTTTGCTAAGCGTTTGCGCATAGTGCGAGTCTCCGGGCGGGTGAAGACGCACCGGACAAATAGCGGGATATTTTGCAAACTAGACTAAGGTATCTTAGGATGATTATCTTGACCAAATATCCCGCTAATTGCAACTTCGAGCTACAACTTTTCCTTCCTTTTCCTTTCTTATTTTTCTTGCGCTTAGACACATTGGTATTAAGCGCATTATAAATGTACTGTATTATGAAGACGAAAATTAACTGGATAATTTGCGATCGGAATAGTTCAAATAGCAGGATATTTGGCAATTTCAAGCTGATGAAGACAGGCCTCATGAGAGCCCCACTTCTAAACGTCTATAAACGAGAAAGAGAGAAACAGATCTAACCTCTGAGTATGTGTCATGTATCTTCCAATAGAACCTCCTCACCGACAGGCACCCAAAACGCAGGTACGCACTCAGGCTCTTTGGTGTACCCAACAGGTCTGGCATATACTGGTTTGGTAGACAATAGCCCCCCTTAAAGGCCTGGAAGACACATAACAAACGACGGCAATTCAGACTGGATTCATTTAAATTCATTCTAGTTTTACACTAAATAGGTAATTTTGTAATGTTACCAAATATATGCATATGCCTTTGTGAAGTGCCTTGATACAAATTATTTCATTCTCCTGTTACAAATAAATGTATCTCAATAGTCAGAATATAATTGTTGCTAGGTAGGGCAAATATTATGGCTTGTACTACAAAACAGCACATAGTTTATGCAATTTGCATTGAGACTATTGAAATACAATTAATTGTAACATGTGAATGAAATAATTTGTAATTCGAAGCACTAAGTATAAATTTTGTTACATTACATTTTCAAAAAGTAGTCAAATTCTAACTTTAATCCTGGGCTGAACACTAGACTAAGTGTAAATCCAGAAAATGTTGTGAAAATATATGGTTAACTTATGTAAAGTTTGCAAGCGGTCAAGTTGCATTTAATATAAGAGAGAATCATTCTGTGGAATATTTGCAGATTTGTTAAAGTGATATGTATGTGTCATGAGCACAGTCCTTGTTAACAATTTGCAAGAGTGTTGTTTGGCAGGATATAATTACATTCATCATAGTTATCTGTCCAAACACAGGTTTAATGACACTATCATCCTGTACGACAAAAAACGGTTCACTCTGGGAGTCCATCTTGAGGAAATATCTTCATCATCGATTCCTCCACAATTTGCTTTCTCTGTATCTTCAACAAGGTAAAGGTCTTGAGCGAATGTTACAAGAGCATTCAAACTTGTGAAGAGAGAGAGCTGTCAGATTTCACAGCATTTTGTTTATTCAACTTGACCCCTATATTTCATCCCGTCTTCCATACTTACCTCTTCCTCGTGAAGAATCCTGACCCTGAAGAGTTCTAAGGCACGGGTCTCGCCCCCTTTCCACACCTTCTTCTCCTGCTCCGTGCACTCCATGTTTACTCCTGGATGCATTAAGGAGGACAGAGAGTGTAAGGAGGAGGGGAAGGGAAGGTTCAGGTGACGCCAAGATGGAAAGCACGAGAGAAAGAGAGAGAGACAGTGAGAGGGTATTGAAAGAGAGTAAAAAGTTAATCAGAGACAGACAGAAGGAGAAAAAAAGATGGACAACCATGGAGAGAGCAAGAGAAAGAGAAAAAGATAATCAGTCAAAGCAAACATGAGATCAACACAGACAGAAAGAGAGAGAGAGAGGAGCAAAGAACCATGATTTATTGATAAGGGAATCGTCAATACTATCTTCTTATCATTCTTATCATCATCATCATCATCATCATCATCATCACCATCATCATCACCATCATCGTGGTCGTCACTTGCACCACTTATACTATTCATAACATGACCAGTATCACAAACTTCATGTACATGTATCATGAAAATCCCCACCATCACCCTCATCACAGTCACTATCAGGCGCGTACGCAGGGGGGGGGGGGGGGGGGGTTGGGGGGTTAAACCCCCCCCTTTGGAAATTTTTTGTGTGTAAACCCCCCTAAAAAAAACCTAAAACCCCCCCCTTTTGGATTTTTTTTTTTTTTTTTTAATTATTAAAAAAAAAAAAAAAAAAAAAAAAAATTATTCCCATGGCCGACCTAAAAAAGGTGACCTTACCCCCCCCCCAACGGAGCAAAATGTCAAATTTCCAAATTTCGAGACCAAAAAAAAAAAAAAAAGTGTCCTCTTACCCCCCCCCCCCCCCCCCCCTTCTTATTCAGCGGTCGGCTGAGTCGTTGCGATTTTTTTGGGACCAAAAAAAAAAAAAAAATGTGTCCTCTTACCCCCCCCCCCCCCCCCCCGCTTATTCAGCGGCTGGCTGAGTCGTTGCGAAATTTTCGGACCGATTTATAAATGTTAAAACCCCCCCCTTGAAAAAATCCTGCGTACGCGCCTGGTCACTATGATGATGATGATGATGATGATGATGATGATAATGATGATGATGATGATGATGATATCATAATAATACCCGCATCAACATAATCATCATCATGATCATTGATCACCACAGGAATGATGTATCATCTTCTTCCATACATGCACCTCCCCCACCAATATCACAACATTAACTCCTCACAAATTCACTATGACCATAATAACAATGAACTCTATCTCACTGCTACCATTGTCACCTTGGGTTACCTAAGAATTCATAAGTGGGCGTGAAAAAAAAGGTTTAATCTGGCCCAAAAATCGTAAAAATTGCTAGGGCCTGAATTCATGCTTTAGCCTGCAGAGCGACATCCCTGATCATCATCACCAGCATCATCATCAGCAAAATCATCATCACCAGCATTAGATACCAAGCCAAACGTGCACTCACCCATCACTTCTAGACTGGGAAGGGCGCAGCGCTCCTCAAAGTCTGACGGAATCTTCATGTTGACTTTGGTGAGGATAGGATCAGGCATAGGGCGTGGCGGGTGTCCGATCTCCGTCACGCATTCCATGAACATGGAGTACGTGATGGGTGGTGTGCCTCCGTTCTTCTCGATGATGCTGCGTAGGAGAAGGAAGGAGGAGTCAATTATTAAAGGGCTATCCAACCTTTGTATCAAGTGTCTTCATTAGTATGAAAGAAGAAAAATACTAGAATGGCAACAAATTTGAATAAATTGTACCAATAATAAGAAAGTTATGAATATTTGAAATACAAGATCACTTGTCTATAGGAGACCATGGGGGATCAACAGGTACCGCTTAGGCATTGTTGGCTGTATAGAGGGCGCAAGTAGCTACAAGTAGTGCAGTCCCGCTTGATTACATTCCAGTTGCCTTCAAGGTAGATGGGTATGCACAGGGAAGAATGATGCACAGTCTAATTCACTTTAATATTGTATGCATTTTACCATGCCAAAACAAAAGGGTGGTTATATCCGCAATCGTGTACATGTAAAAAAATATTGAGTGTCACGTGACATCTTTTCAGCCAATAGGATTTTTGCTATTAACAAACTCTATTTTATATTGTAAAATATTTCATCTAGTTTGAACTCACATATCAGGATTCCACAGCGTGTGAGAGACCCTCTCAATGCACTCGACCTTCATCTCCTTACACAGCGCCTTGACCCGACGATCTCGCTCCGTCCAGATGGGCTCAGGGTCACTCTCAAAGGTCAGATAACGCACACCCCATTCCTGTCAAAACAAAAGTAAGAAACCAAGGTAATTGAATATCAAATTGCTCTGCTTTTTAGGGTCACTCTCAAAGGTCAAATAACGCACACCCCATTCCTGTCAAAACAAAAATAAGAAACCAAGGTAATGGACTATCAAATTGCTCTGCTTTTCAGTGAATCCCTCCATTTCCACAGTTCATCCTAAAAAAAAGAACTTAAAAAAAACATAATACTGGATATTTATGTATACATGTACTTTCTATTTTCATAATTTTAAACCATGTACAATGTATTATATTATTGAATGTTGCATTGTATACCTGATTTCTTGTCAAAATTACTATTCTGTTTGAAATGAAAAATAAAACTGAAGCTGAAACTGAATTGTTAGCTCTCCTTCGCATTCTTACCATTGAGGTACAATTATTTGTAACAGGTGAATGAAATAATTTGTTTTGAGGCACTTTACAAAGACGTATGAATTAAATTTGATTACATTACAAAAACAGCCTATTAAAGCCCCACTGCACTAGTTTGGCCAGGAAGAATTAGACCTCCCTGTAAGGTCACTGACAAGTGGTTATCTCATCAAATAAGCTCTCAATTAACATAAGAAAAAGATAATGGGGACCAATGGTCACCGATTAGGCGTTGTTTGCTATATAGAGGGCGCAAGTAGCTATAAATAGTGCAGTGGGGCTTTAAAATCAAGGAACTCACAAGGAACATTTCTTTGAAGATGAGGCATGGATCACCATGAAATACAAACAGTCTTCCACCAGCTGCCTTCAACTGCTCATCCAGGTCCACAAGGCAATCATGAAGGAAACGCCATCGGTTGTACCCAGATGTCTTTGTACCTATGAAAAGGACATGATCAACATTGGTGACAAAGTGCTTGACCATTAACTGACCAAGAAGTGCTTAAAGTATCATTAGCGCGCTTTCGCAAACACAACGGAAGGCAAAGAAGCAGAGAACGCGAGCGAAAAAACAATCTGCACATTATGCGCGAACCAGAATTTTCTCTGTCATGTTGATTTTCACGACCATACGCAGCCATTATAGCGTTCGTTCCCTAAACGCGACGGAAGAGCTGTACCCCCATAATTCTCCCATCCTCTTTGTCTCTGTCGTGTTTGCAAAAGCGCTCTAGTATTTAATTATTAATCCGCACATTAAAGTGCACATTCTCCACACCCTGGGAGTATTCCAGCTTGTCACCCTTTTTAATCCAATTACGAAGACGTCTGCATCTTACCAGGTACCCCTTTAACACCTGGGTGGAGAGAAGCAATATCGATAAAATCCCTGGCTCAAGGACATTAAATGTAAAAAACAGATACATGTAAAGGACACACAATCAAAGCTGCCTGAGTGGCCACCTCTATAGAAAGGCCACCTGGATATAGTGGCCAGATATTTTCTCTCTCTCCAGAAAGAAATGTATGTTGTAGAACCTGTCTCGATAGGCCACCTGGCTACACTGGCCACTTTTTCTGTCTTCCTTGGGTGACCGCCCTGTACATGTATGTTGTACAGGAAACAATACACAGAATCACCCTATACTAAGGCTGCGACGAGTACTCAAATACTCGACCACCATTTTGTTTTCTTTCTTTTTTTCGCCCGTTCACCTGGCACTGTCCAGGCCGACGCTTACCCCTGCCCGGCGGGACCGTGAGAGCACCAGCATGGTACAGTGGGTAAAAATGTTTCCCAGGGCAATCAATGTCAACTCACGACTCAGAAACTGGGACCAAACGTCAGGATTTCTGTTTGGACTCAGAGGAAAATGGATTATTTTGTCGTCTTTGGTTTTTAAAACAGTATTGTTTACTATTAATATTATTATTAAATAGGCGCCTTCAACTGCAACTTGAAGTAAAAAAAACATGGCATCCCAGTTTTTGAGGATTCGCCCTTAAGCCTGGAAGTGTATTCCAGTTATGCACAGCCTTACCCTATACCACAACACGTCCATTACATTGAAAAACTAAACATCGCAGGTACATACCTGCGACTTCGTTGTCAAAGATAAAGACGGGATAGAACTCTTTCCCTAAAGTCATGCCTTCTAGTAGAGCCGGGTTGTCATGGAGACGGAGGCCATGCCGGAACCAGTGGATGCAGGCACCGCCAGGCATCTTGAAATGATGGATTACTTAATCTGGGGATTAGAGAGGAAGACAAAAGTAAGGATTATGGATCAGAACAATAATGTAAAATGATACCCTTGCTGTGATCGGTGAATGCAGGCATCTCCAGGCATCTTGCAAGGATGGATTAGTTAATCTGGGGATTAGAGAGAAAGCCAAAAATAAGAATATGGATCAGAACAATAATGTAGGATGACACACATGCTGGGATCGGTGATTGCAGGCATCTCCAGGCATCTTGCAAGGATGGATTAGTTAATCTGGGGATTAGAGAGGAAGACAAAAATAAGAATATGGATCAGAACAATAATATAAGACAAAACACCTACTGGGATCGATGAATGCAGTCGTTAGATGGCATCTTGAAAGGCCAGCTGTCATGTCAATCGACCTCTTCAAAATTGGTTTTCTTTGGCCTGTATAACATTTCTTTATAAATACATCGACATACACATGTACAGTGTATGTGTACACTTTCAGTTTGTACCCTCCTTTTGCTACAAGGTGATTCTTTATACCACGTTTCTTTAAATACAAGTTTTTAAATAAATTTCTTGTAGTCTGCACAAGCTTTAATACCACACACAAAAAAAATGGATTCCAGCCGAACACAACAACAATGTACACATATAAATTTGTTTTCTAGATTGTTCACTCCTTCCGCTAAAGGACGATTCTTTATACGACGTTTCATTATAAAAGGTTTCGTATAAATTTTCTTTAATCTTCAGGGTATAAGACTACAGAACGCAAGCCATGAAACTACTTAAAATGGATTCCACATGAACAAAACAAGAAGGTGAATGACCAGGGAAAACCTGAGCAATATTGCCGTCTTGGTGATTATCTTGTTTTGAAGTTTTATGCTTGTACCATGTTCAGACTACAGTCAATCTATGCGAAACTCGTGTAAAGAATCATCGTATATCGCAGGCGGGTACAGATTGGATAGCAGCATCGTATAAAGAAACGTTGAACAAAGAAATATTGTATTAAAAAAAAAGGTTTTGAAGAGGTTGGTTGACACGACAGCAGGCTAATCATTTGTGCACTTAAGATAACACCCGTCCAGGTAGACGATTTTCGTATGATACAATATTCAGACTTGAAGTTGAAAAGGACCCTGAATTTTTAAAGAGATTTTGTGGGACAGTTTATATCCAGATACAATATTTTTATGAAATGGAAGTCGACAGTACGTTCCCCATTCACACTACAATAATTCATTGTAACACTATCCAAGAATAACTATAAGATAAGTTATTACGTGGACTTTTCTTTAAGTTGAACGTTTTAAATTGAAACGTCTTACATTTACATCATTTCTAACAGTAGCTCAACAAAGAATCAGAGTCTTGTTTTAGTCTGAAAGTCGTATGGTACAAAAACCTTATAACTGAGTGGGGCTTATCAGGAACACACACTGATAATCGGCTAGCTGTTGTGTTTATAGCTGACCGCTTCAAAACAAGTTTCTTAAGAAGACGTTTCTTTATACGATATACTGTAGTTCATCCAGTGTGAACTCCCCTAGTATACAATAATTGTTTACAACTGATATATCAATTTCCTCTCGGTCTGAAAAAATTATGAGAGATTACTTTGTTTTGAGGTTTTAAGCTTGCTCATCAAGGTTTTATGTTTATCCAGATACAGTACATAAATGGAAGCTGGCAATACTTCTTTTCAGACTGCAGACAGTTGTTACTCTGTGCGGAAGGAGATAATTGATGTATAATTATCTAGAATGCTCAATAACAAAAATAACGCCACTAAGAGTAGCTAATGGAATATAATTGCCGCATAAAAAAGGGATGTGATGAATATTTAAAGATGAATAAAAAGAGATCTATATAAATACAGGAAGAATATAAAAGAAGGATGAAAGAAAAATAAGACTTAGAAAGAGGTGGGTGGGAGGGGGGGATCCGGGAATGAAAGCAAATTTTGAAGGCAAATTTAATGCCGAACTACATGTTGATCTCTCTACTATTTTAGAAATATTAACACAATGGCTATTCCATCGACATACAACACTGTACATTATATCCCATAGAAATCAGGTTTGGATATTAAGGTAATATGTCATTGTCATGTTCGCATATCAATATTAGACACACAAGGCTATTGAAATGGCCTTAGGGTGATATCATAAGTAGCTGCTATCGTGTTCCATACAGTTTCTATTATTTTACATTGAAATACAAATTGATATAATCAGAAGGTCACAGGAAGAAAGGGATGAAGAAAGAGAAGAGATATTCTGGATTTTCTAAGGCCCAATGGCTCAGTGGTGGAGCAGTGGTCTCATAACCGGGAGGTCCTGGGTTCGTAACCAATTCAATGCACTAGTGTGCTTTGGTAAGGCATCAATCCTCATTAGCAAGTCCCTCAGAGAGGGCTTAAAGCCGTAGGTCTCCTGGTTGCTTACTTCAAGCATACACATGCTTTCTTAGCAGTCTGGTAAAACAAACTAAAAACAATCAAACCAACCAAACCAGATGATTTTTATAGAGCGAGTATTGACGCTATTATTTGTACAATTTATTATAAATATTGAGCATTACACTATACCCAAATTAAGTAAATTACCTTCATTAATTTGAAGAAAACAGTCAATTAACGATCAAATTGTAAATGTCAAATGACTTTAATGTCAGCTTTCACTGACTCGAAGCAGAGAGTTTTTTTAAAATCAATTCCATATTCCAGATCATATCTTGTGTCAAATGCATAATTGGCACATATAATCACACATGGTCATGCATTAGTATGCATTTTATGCATGCAGCATTTTATATACCGAGTTACACATCATATGGCGTATCCTACTTTTGCACAGACACATGAATACATACATGTATACCTTTGTTCATCTGTGATTTTATAATCAAGTACTGAAATAAAGCACAACACATCCTATTCAATATAAATTAAAATACAAGCAAATCGAGTGATCAACATTTTGCACTACCTACCATAATGTCTAATAATATCCTTAAAGGTAATACATAGTTTAAGTAATATTTTGACAGGATTGGATTATAAAATTTTATATTTGCATTATTATTGTGAAACCTAGTAGTAGAATATAAAAGCAACTTTGAAAAAATTGGGCTCTATTAAAACCGCCAAGAATTTCTAGAAATTCAAACATCAAATTTATTGGTGATCCCGATAAATTTCAAATAGCGCCTACGGCCATACAATGGTAGCTGCGACGATGAAAATCTCAGTATATGCAGTTCTGATATATAATTTCCAAAAGGGAATAGAAGGTTTGTTGATTTTAGTCAAGGAACATTGTTTTGAAGCTAAATTAATGTCAATCTTGAGAGAGAGTGATACAACAAAGAGTTTATCATTCACAAATTCATCACTTTAGACTCGGTTTCAATCGCGACAACGATCATTGAATATTGTAGGATCGCATGTACATATGCTTCAAATATGTTCATTTGAACAAAATCCATGACTCCATACGAAAACATGTGATACAATTTATGGTTTTCCAGACACATCTTTTCATGCCACTGTTCTCATCTCTGATTTTAATAGTGTGAACTTTTTTTTGTATGATTTCACATACAGGGTGTGCAAGGGCAATCTCAACTTTGTAATGCATTCATTTGCATAAATGCAAACAATTAAGAGAAAGGAATGGCAAATGTGTGAAAAGAATCTGTCCAACCAAAAATAGAGATATATCATATTTAGTTGAAACTACTCCTCTTTCATTTATTTTCATAGGAAGATCAAGTCAATTTCCACTTCTACATGTACATGCTCTTTTACTTTAATTACATACAGTACATGCAATATAAAAGTTTCCATCGCTAATTTATGGTAAACGTTGTATGATTTCACATACTTTAAGCCGTAGGGCACTCTAACCTTTGTACTAGAATGTGTTCATTTGTATAAAAGCGGAAAAAGAAGAGAAAAAGAAGAGAAACAGAATGGAAAAAGTGTGAAATAAATCTGTCCAACCAATAATATGAGATTTTTACATCTTTGTGACTCTCAAATTCAAAATGTGGTCAGTGGATTGTGACGTAGTGATAACAACTTTCCTAGTTCCTACCCTGAACGTTGTATTAAAAAACGTTGTATAGCCAACGCCGGTTAGTATCGTTTAGAACAAAAACTTGATAGTCTGAACGTCCTATTGTACAAAAATTGAATAACTTTGCAGGGCTTCTCGTGAGCGTGCATAATGATTGGCCAGCTGTCATGTGAACTGACCTCGTCTTCATTTATTTCTTTATGTACGTTTCTTTAAATGATGTTGTTTTCTAGCCTGTATGCTCCTGTCATCATACAATCATTCTTAATACGTTTCTTACACAAGTACCGTACAAATTTTCTTTAGTCTAAACAGGCCGGATAGCAATCAGGAGATACAGGCAGATAAGGATCAGCTGGAAGACAAATTCATACCCAGGATCTCGTAAACAATACTGGTATATATCTACGGTTTCTCAAAAATAACTGCTATGATTTTCCTTTAACAGTCTCGTCAGTCACATACATGTAGGTCTTCCTACACCTTTTCCCCATTCACATTGTAGCCTACAATGCAGTGTATACACAGTATGTCCTGTACATGTACAGTACTTCAAATTAATCAAGAACGTTTGTCTGCAAGTAATCACGGTTCCGGAATACTGCATAAAGCTCCAGTGCGCACGTGTACATGGTCAAATCAGTAAAAAAAAAGTTTTATTTCAGAACAAAATTAACAAATAATAAAATATTGAAGTAGGAAAAAAAAGGGGGGGGGGGGATGAGAAAGTACTTACTGTATATGAATTAGTTTGACAATCAGTGCGTTTCTATTAGAAGCCATTATCTGTTTAGTGGCCGATAAGGGATAAATTTTCGCCTTATAGAAACTGACTTTCTCCGCTATTATCTGGATAATGGTCGTGAGAGATGTGATAAGTTCACAAGCAAAATTATCCTTCTTTTAGAAGGATAATGCAGGGGAAGCTAACCAGTAATAATATCTCCAAGTTTGGAAGCGCTTAGAGACTTAACTGTAATTCGTGTTATGTAAAAGCTGAGTTTTATTATTATTAGTTGTGACTAGGGAGATTCTAGTTCTTGATCTGCACATTGTATATCAAGGCTCAAACTACATGGGGGCGATGGGCGATTCGCCCCCGTGAGCTTCATAATCGCTTCCATCAGACTGCTCACGGTGGCGATTGCAAAATTTAAAATCGCCCCCGTGGAATTATAAAATAAAGATAATCTTTTCTGTTATAACTTTCACACAACATTGAGTTTCAATTTTTCAAACCTTAAACCAATGAAATGGAACTATGGAAATTAGGTTTATAGCATGCAGGATTTCTTGCTCGAATTTTTCGGTGTCTAGAGGCTGCCATATTGTAAACAAATGAACGCTTTTTTGCCGCAAGATTGCGCTATATCTCCCATCTCCACATCTCTATGGGTGTTACAGATACAAACGGAAGCTTGCAGTGCACTGCGGCCGTCAGCAGTGGCTTTACTAGCTGCGCCGGTAGTATACTAGCCTATCCGATATGCGTCGGGCTGGCAAGTATACTAATCCTCTGGTGATTCCAAAAGACCAGCAAATAATGAACCTTGACCAGTAAATCAACCAAAAGCTAAATTTGGTAAAAGGAAACCAGTTGGCGAGGAGGCGACTGTATACAGGCTTGGACCAGAAATTTTGTACAGAGGGAGGAGATCTGACCATTAGCTGCATGTTATAAATTGTAAAGTTGTAAGAGGCAGGAGTATCATGGGTATCATCGATCCAACAGACATTTATATTAAAAAAGAACCACTGTTAGGACTAAAAGAGCCCCTATGAAAAGGAAGAGCCCCCACAAAAAATTAATTTGAGCCCTGATACATGTACTATTGATTAATACCTGATCACCTGGGGAAAAAAGGAGTCTTTCCTGCTGTCTGGTTTGCAAGTCTATATCTACCGCTTGTTGCTAATCTCAATTTCTATCTAGTTTTCAAACATCGTTCATTCCGCCAGTGTGCTACATTATAAATGCCAAAGGGTTCAAAATGTTACTATTCCCATGGATGAGCACATTGTAGTGCAGACATGGGCCCTATTTTTTAGAACTGAAATTGTGGCATTTGACTGGCTTAGACCAAATTTGTCATAGATATTTGTCTCTTATTATTGATATAAACATATAAACAAGTTTTATAATACAGGGCCCAACTTAGGTCTGCAATACAATGTGCTCATCCATGGGTGTAGTAAAACGCCTAGCACACTGACATTCAAACTGACATTCAAAGAATGTACGATATATTAAAGCTTACATCTAGAAGTATTTAACAAAGGCCCTAATTCAACCAGTCTACCTTTCATTTCTTGAGTTCCAAAAAACACAAAAAACATCAAATTTACAAGAGAAAGTAATATACTTAAACTTCTTACCTTTTGTGCCAGTGATTCTAGACCAACCTACAGTGTACATGTACTGATCGACTGATCAAAGATATAAAGTATTTATGTACACTGTACAACTACATGAAGAACAGATCGAACACCAGCAGAAAAAAAGACTGGAACAGTTCTCTAACTTCAGGTGTTAGATTGGCAGTAATACACGAGGGTAGCACAGAAAATAAGCAGACAATCCTAGTACAAGCAAAACATGTAGGTGGAATAATCCCCAAACTTTGGGTTTTAGATCGGCAGTAAACGTCTGAATAAAAGAGTAGCATAGAAACTAAGCAGACTGGCAGAAATTCAAACTGGAACACTTATTCAACTTGCTTTGATCGCCAGCAGCATACATATACATGGGTATCACAGAAAGCAGACTGGCAGAAAAGAAAACCGGAACACTTCTTTGACTTGGTTTGATTGGCAGCAACGAATAAGGGTATCGCAGATGTGTACCTCAATACTGACACTATACCCTTTTTGTTTAAAAAAGGCCTCATTAATTAGGCCTATCTTAAGAATACGGACAGGCTGCATAGTCCCCATACAGATTAGGAAAACAGAGGATGTTAGAAAGCGTACAAAGACGTGCAACAAAGATTATTCCTGGCCTTAGAAAGTTATCATATCAGGAGAGCTTGACCAAACTCAAATTACCAACTCTTGTTCACAGGCGTAGAAGGGGGGATACGATTGATGTGTACAAGTACTTTAATGGCTTGTACAATGTGCAAGAGATTCCCCCTAAGAGGAATACAGCAGATAAAACTTGAGGTCACTCTAAAAAAACAAATATTCAAGGCTAGATATTAGAAAATTCGTTTTTTGCAATAGAGTTGTGGAGCTGTGGAACGGTCTCCCAAAAAACGTGGTGGCAGCTGAGTTGGTCAACTTGTTTAAGAATAGACTTGAAAGTCACTGGTCAAAGAATCGAAGACTTCTATATGAGCCGGTCTAGGTGTTGTCTGTTGTCTCATGTTAGCACACAATCTCCTCCCTCCACAAATAGCAGTAACCATGGAAGACTCCTGGATCGATGAACAAGCTTAGAACTACAAAGTGGTGTATTATAGTAAAGTAAAGTAAGTGAAAGTAGAAATTAAAACTGGAACACTTCTCCAAAGTGGTTAGATTGGCAGCAACGAACAAGGGTATCACACAAACTATTAAACTAAAGCAAGCAAGTAGAAAACAAAACTGGAACACTTCTCCAACTTGGTTTGATCGGTAGCAACGAACAAGGCCGGGTATCGCAGAAACTAAACAAGCAAGTAGAAAATAAAACAGGAACACTCTTCCAAATTGGTTAGATCGGCAGCAATGAACAAGGGTATCACAGAGACTATAAAGCAGACTGGCAGAAAAGAAAACCGTAACACTTCTCCGACTTGGTTAGATCGGTAGCAATGAACAACAGTATCGCAGAAACTAAACAAGCAAGTAGAAAATAAAACTGGAACACTTCTCCAAATTGGTTAGATCGGCAGCAATGAACAAAGGTATCACAGAAACTAAGCAGACTGGCAGAAAAGAAACCGGAACACTTTTCTGACTTGGTTAGATCGGTAGCAATGAACAACGGTATCACAGAAACTAAACAACCAAGTAGAACAGAAAACTGGAACACTTCTTCGACTTGGTTAGATCGGCAGCAACGTACAAGGGTATTACAGCTAGAAACTATTAAACTAAAGCAAGCAAGAAGAAAACAAACCTGGAACACTTCTCCAACTTGGTTTGATCGGCAGCAACAAACAAGGCTTTCACAGAAACTAAGCTAACAAGTAGAAAATAAAACTGGAACACTTCTCCAACTTGGTTTGATCGGCAGCAACAAACAAGGCTTTCACAGAAACTAAGCTAACAAGTAGAAAATAAAACTGGAACACTTCTCTAACTTGGTTTGATCTGCAGCAACAAACAAGGGTATGGCAGAAACTAAGGTAACAAGTAGGTATAAAACAAAACTGGAACAATTTTTCAACTTGGTTAGATCGGCAGCAATGAACAAGGGACTGGCAGAAAAGAAAACCGGAACACTTCTCCAACTTGGTTTGATTGACAGAACACGAGTATCACAGAAACTAAGCAAACTAGTAGAAATTTGAACTAACTGAAGCAAGCAAGTAGAAAATCAATCTAGAACACTTCTCCAACTTGCTTTGATCGGCTGCAACGAACAAGGGTATCGCAGAAACTAAAGCTAACAAGTAGAAATAAAACTGGAACACTTCTTCAACTTACTTTGATCGGCAGCAACGAACAAGGGTTTCACAGAAACTAAGCAGACTGGCAGAAAAGAAAACCGTAACACTTCTTAAACTTGGTTTGATTGGCAAAACTACATGTAAACTGTACATGCAAGCACCCTAGCCGATATCAAAGAAGAATGGTGTTATATCAGCTGCAAGGTATAAAGGTGCAATATAGCACAACAACTACATTGAACTATATTTACACTGTAAATAGCAGAAAACAAAATCAGAACAGGACCTGAACTTCACGTCTTACCATAGATGGGCAGAAACAAGCAAAGGCAGGCTCACAGAAACTCAGCATTATCAGGTACATACATGTACATGTATCATCAAGAGAGACACTGTGACTGAGCATTCAACCCAAGTTCTTTCTTTTCTTGTCACCTACCCCGCAGTAAAATATTCACCACTACAGATAATCACATCTGATTGAAGTCTAAATTAAGAAACTCAGCATTACCAGGTTCATGTATCATCAAGAGAGAAGTTTTGTTTTTCTTTGTCACCTATCCAGCAGTAAAATATTCACTGCTACAGATAATCACATCTGATTGCAAACTAAAATTAAGCATGGGAATATTGATGAGCCAGTGTTAGTCTGATTTCAAGAACAAAGTACAAATCTGACAGTCAATCCTGACAGTTGACATGTTTAATATTACTGTCCATTATGCTTTGACAGGAGAATATCTTGCCTTATACATTACCTCTCTCAGAAACTCTTTGGTAGGGAATCTTGCAGATTAATGGGCAAGAATATAATAGTCCTCTTAGAAGAGCTAAAATCATTTCTTGGAGTCAGGTTTGCTTTAAATTTCCAATCAGAATGATATTAAGAACTCTATTCACCCCATAATAATATCCACCCGACAATAACCTTGAATTCAACAATTAAAATTCATGTACAAGTACATGAACCGGTATACATTTTGTAAATTATTATGAGGTGATTTGTAAAACTCTTAGTTCTGACATACAGGTGAAGTTATGTAAAGAAACTGGAGGCAATCATCAGAACCATATCGTATCATCTACATACATGTACCATCACCTTGAGGAACTTTTAAAAAAAAATTAAAAATCAGTACACATTTTCAAAAGTTGAATAGAAATATAGGATAATAGAAGGTTTAGTTGTGACCTTTGCATATAAATAAGGACATGTATGCACATTGGATCCTCCTTTAATTGGAAATATGTCAAGACTAGAAAAAACATTTAAACACAATTAAAACATCCATTGATGTACATGTATGTCTGTGTGCATACATGTATTTCAAACAAGGAAAGTAAAGGAAAGAAGTATAGATGTACATTGTAGAGCTATAGTACCTGTACATATGCATGTACACTAACCCTCCAATTTAGTGTGTGTTTATAATACGAGGGCTTCAGTACATGTATTGCAAACTGCCTGACGTTAAGACTACCGTCACGTTGCAGCCATGTGAGAGTCGCACCGATTCAAATGACCTCATTAAAATAGAGCTTGTTCTTATACCACTCTCATACTAACAGCCAGTGCACACTTCACACTATGAGAAATTATATTTACATTTACTGGTATGTAAAATTGTGTAGAAATGTCATAAAAAGAATACTTTTTATTGAATTCCATAATGGAATTTATTGAATTGAATTTATTGAATTGAATAATGAAATGCATTGAATTGAATAATGGAATTTATTGAATAATTAATTTATTGAATTTAATAATTGAATTTATTGAATTTAATAATTGAATTTATTGAATTTAATAATTGAATTTATTGAATTTAATAATTGAATTTATTGAATTTAATACTTGAATTTATTGAATTGAATTTATTGACCCAAATACATAGAATATACACGTATAAAAAAGTGATAGCGAAAGAGAAAAAGGCACACACTTGAACAAAATAAGGGTGGTAGAAAGAAAAACTGACAAAAGATGCACATTGTAATAGCTTGTAAGAGGTACATGTAGTTCACATATGTTTCAGTGACAGCTGAGAATGTGATGATAGCTTGCAAGAGGGAAGTTCACATATGTTTCAGTGTCATTGTCAGCTGAGAGTACGCTCCACCTGGTTTTCGTACAATCAGCATTAATATTAGATCTAGAAGTGGATCCTGATTCTAATATTGGGTTTGGTTTGATGCAATGGACAAAAATTCATTTTGCTATAAGTTTCATTTCTTGACATTTTGTCAAACAACATTAAAGCCCCTCTAAACTATTGGGAGCCCCAAATTTGCCAGAAATTTGATGGCAAAATTTCACTTTTAATAAATTGTGTCATAATGTGAAAGGGGATGTCACTTAAGACACACTTCTATACAAACTTCCCGAAAAAAATGTGTTTGAAGACAAATATTGATAAAGGAATACATACTTTGGGTTTTCTGTTGTATGCAGTAAACATAAATGTTGTATTCTTTCATCAATATTGGACTTCAAACAGATTTGTTTTGAAAATGCTTGAAGAATATGTCTTTCACATCCTCTTTCACAAATGATGCAATTTAAGTGAAATTTTGCCATCAAATATTTTGGGCTCCCAACATTTTAAGAGGGGTTTTAAAGCCCCACTATCCTACTTGTAGCTACTTGCTCCGTCTACATGTATATAGAAAACTTCCCCAATCGGTGCCTGTTGGTCCCCCATGATCCTCTATTTCTTATGTTATTTGAGAGCTGAGTTGATGAGATAGCCACCTGTCAGTGACCTTGCTGTGAGGTCTAATCCCTCCTAGCCATACTAGTACTGACAGTCTTTAAGACTAGAAAAATATCATATAATATGTACATATCATACGTAGTATTTAAACAATGAAATGTATAAGTCTGAACATAGTATAAAAGTAGACATTTTTACTTGGGTGGAGTGTACAGACAAAGAAATCTGTACTTACACAGGGAAATCAACAATGAAAACAACATGTTTTTTTAGCAGCAAAATGAGAGAATAACGAGGACTGTAGATCAGTGAATGGGTCATAAAAATTATAAGACTGTACAGGATGAGAAAGTTATGAATTTTTAAATTGTCATCAATCAGACAGAATCAAGTCAAGAATTGGCATTTCGGTGATTATCCCCCACA